TCCCCAGAAACCTTTTGCAAAGGCTTTGGGAGTACCTCCAGGAGAGCTTCATGGAGAAGTCCCTGGAGGATTTCCGCTCCATCCCCAGACACCTTAACAGACTTTTCCAGTAGCTGTACTGACCGCGAATGCATCCCAAGTCTTCAGGGCAAATTAATCATTAAACATGCTTGCTTTTAAACCATGTATTATATTTACAAAGGTACACTCACCAGAGGTGCCTTCTCCAGCTTCATGGTCCGGAAGCCCGCCTTGGGAGGGTACTGTCTGCAGGGTGATAAACAGTTCCTGGCTGTCAGGGAGAACGGTTTCTCCGCTTGCCTGCTGTGCGCTATCCTCCTCCTCCTCATCCCCCAAATCCTCTTCCCTGTTGCATGAGACTCCCCCCTTGCAGGTGTCCACGGACTGGGGTGGGGTAATGGTAGGGGCCCCCCCTAGAATTGCATGCAGCTCATCATGGAAGCTGCATGTCTGGGGCTCTGACCTGGAGAGGCTGTTTGCATCTTTGGGTTTTTGGTAGGCTTGCCTGATCTCCTTAATTTTCATGCAGCGCTGCTGCGGGTCCCTGTTGTGGCCTCTGTCCATCATGCCCTTGGAGATTTTTGCAAATATTTTGGCATTTTGTCTTTTGGAACGGAGTTCTGATAGCACGGATTCATCTCCCCATACAGCAATCAGATCCAGTACCTCCTGTTCAGTCCATGCTGGATCTCTTTTGCGATTCTGGGACTGCACGGTCACCTGTGCTGATGAGGTCGCCATGCTGGCCAAACAGAAATGAAATTCAAAAGTTCCTGGGGCTTTTCCTGTGTACCTGGCTAGTACATCTGAATTGAAAGTGCTGTCCAGAGTGGTCACAATGGAGCACTGTGGGATAGCTCCTGGAGGCCAATACCGTCGAATTGCGTCCACACTACCCCAAATTCGACCCGGTGATGTCGATTTCAGCGCTAATCCCGTCGTCGAGGAGGAGTGTAGAAATCGATTTTAAGAGCCCTTTAAGTCAACAAAAATGGCTTCATCGTGTGGACGGGTGCAGGGTTAAGTCGATCTAATGCTGCTAAATTCGACCTAAACTCGTAGTGTAGACCAGGGCTATGTATTTTAGAGTATAACACAGAATTCTGGATGTAAATGGAATGTTGTGATTTGTTGTTAAATGAGATTCTCCCCACGTCGGCTGTTTGCAGTTGCAGAGTTCTAAAGTGGCCACATTTACAGATGGCAGCCTGAAACAAAAAAGAAAGGTTTGGGGGTTTAAAAAAATTGTTTAATCTCCTTCCAAATACTAAGATTTATTGCATTCTCCCAGTTGGTATTGCAGGATGTGAGACAATCTCTTCCAAATCCTGATGGTCCTGGGAAAATTAGGCTAGTTGCTAAGTTGTTCCACCAGTAAAGACTTGTGCCAGAAGGCAAATACTTAACATGATAAGTGGTGCAGCTTCCACAGGTTGAGGCTTTTGCACTAAATATCTGAGCCTGACAGTTTTCTCATTTGCATTTATATATTTCCAAATAGCAATGAAATACTCCAAACAGAAAATTACTAGCAAATATTGAGCTCTAAAGGTGTTTAAAGTCATTCATCATTGTGATTTAACACCAGTGAGACCATACTGTTATTACCTAAACATATACTTTGTTATGTCATGTTCATCCATTATCAGTGTTTCATTGGGGCTGCCTAGCCCAAAATACATGTGATCTCTGCAACATCCTCATCTGACTGTTCCCCCTTTTAAAGATCTATACTATGTTTGCCCTTCTCTAGCCCTCTGGGACCCCACCCATCCTCCATGGGTTCTCAAAGACAAATGCTAAAGGTTCTGAGATTGTTTCAGCTAGTTCGTTAAGTACCCCAGGATGAATTCAATCAGGTCATGATGACGTATCTAAATATACTTTAATCTGTTCTTTCACTATTTTGGCTTGTGTTCCTTCCCCCCTTTTGTTAATATTAATGGTGTTGTATATCTGATCACCATTAACCTTTTCAGTGAAGAATGTAGCAAAGTAAGCATTAAACACTTCAACCTTCTTGATTATAAGCTCCTTCCCTGCTAAGTAAAAGACCTACACTTTCCTTCGTCTTTCTCTTGCTCCTAATGTATTTATAGAACAGCTTTGTATTGCCTTTTGTGCCCTTTGCTAGATATAACTCATTTTGTGCCTTAGCCTTTCTGATTTCATCTCTGCATAACCATAACTGCTGTAGTGGGGCTTGGGAGAAGATGTGGTTTCATAGACTGGCTATTTTTAGTGCTTTAGAGATACTCATCAGCACTTTGCTTTCTACCTGGAGGCAAAAATAGAAGTTCACATCCCAGAGCAAAATTGTAACATGTTCCAACTGAAGTTCCCCATTTAGTAAATAGGAAGGCACATTATGTGCTAGCTGATGCTTTTGATTCTTCATCAAGATCAGCCCCAAGTTCTGAAATCTCACGTGGAGGTGACTAAGGGGTGGATAAGTATATGGACAGGCCCAGATTAGAATGGCAAAGTCACAGAATCCAAGAATCTGGCATAGTCTCAAAGGATGAAGTTGCCATCTCTCTCATTTTCTCCAGAGGCTTCCATCTGCCTGCCAGCATTACTTTCAGGATATTTTGAATGAAAGTTCATGGAAAATCCTATGTTGGTCGGGTATTGGGAAGGCAAAGAGATTATAAAGTCTAGATTTGAAGTGGGGAATAAAAAGTACAGATGAGTATAATCATCAGCATTCAGGTAACAATAGATGAAAACCTCTCAGACCTAATTTTTAAAAACAGGAGCCTAAAGTTGACTTTGTAGAATGCTATTTCGGTGCTCAGCGCTTTTGAAATTCAAGCAGGTAACTAAATATGGATTTAGGAGCTTCCAATTTTAACAACCTTGACCCTCATGATCTTCTTCAGTAACCTGAAATACACATTAAACAGCAAATGCATGGAGCCTGCACAATCCTATTGGGGGTAATCATTAGTGAGGATGAATGACTTTCATCACCACCACCCCATATCATCTGCAAGAACCAGTATACCCACTGAAAGGCCCTTCCCTTCCTATGTTCTAGAGGCAAGCAAGCAACTCCCCATTGGAGTTTTGCCTTTGACTTCAGTAAGTATTTCACCCTGTGTGTTTTGTACATTCTGTTTCTGATATTATATGTTTTGATTATGTAACTGTGCCCAGTGTACTGCAAATAAAATGGTAAGTAGAATTCAGAAAAGTATAATTGATTTAAAAAATATGTGGACTGGAGTAGTGATACTTTGGCTGAAGAAGCTGCATAATCCCCACATTCATGTTCTTTGGGAAGTAATTACAGGGTTTGTAATCTTCAACCAATTTGATCAAAGCTTTTATTCATGGTACTTTACAACAAGTATATAGATCATAAATAACATTTGAAAGATATGAGGTTATGCAGAGATAATTGCACATCTGAATTACATTGGCACAGTGCCCCAAGCACCTTCCACCATCCCTTCTGAATTGTATAGCTTCACTTTATGAAATGCATTATTGCTCTCATAGGATGTTTTTATTGTTCCAGAAGGGCAAACTAACGTTAATAAAATGCAGCTCCTGATTACCACTCAGGGTGACTATTTTTTATTTTCTGAACCGTTCTTGGCCAGTCTCATTCCTTGGTGTGTTTTTACATATATGGATACATAAATTTGATGTCTCTACCATTTTGAAAGTTTTTACCACTGTGAGATGGATTTCCCATAGATATAATGGCTAGTACCAGCAGAACCAGGCAAACAGGGCAAAATTTTAAACTGTAATCCCTGTATCATTCTTTGCAACTAATCTCACTCATCGCAAAAAAGATATTCAATTGAATAGCATGTTCAGGTTACAAAGACTACCAGAAATAATGGTATGTTTTGTGCAGCAGCATCAGAATACTGTTCCTGCTGTAGGCAAAATGCAGTTTCAGCTGCTTCTGGTTCTTCAGGTGACAGTCAGCATTAGAGAGCAGAATTCATTATGTTAATGGGAAGATAAGAGTTATCTTAAAGTACTTCTTTCAGAGGTCTTGCTGCAACAGGGGAAGAGATGATATCATCCCAAGGTCTGCCCACAAACCAAGCTCCACCCATTCATGATAGCTATATGAGATGCCACTCACAGTAGTTTGTGCAGAACTTCCTACTCCTCCTTCGTAATGTTTTTCTGTTATCTGTAGTAAAGCTGTTAACAAAGTTGATATTATTTATGATTCAGAATCACCACCCCATTAATATGACTAGGGCAGTTCACACCTCTTGCAGCTAATGTGTCAGGATGCCTACAGACTCAGGAAGTCAGGGCTACCTCAGGGTATGTCTAGTTCACATTCCAAAGGTAATTTTTGAAATCAAGGGTGTCTACATTTGAAAATCTTATTGTAGTCAAACATCTTTGTGAAGAGTTGAGTTAACTTAAATGACAGTGCATACGACTGACCGGTCAGCGTAAACCAGGGCAAATCATGTTCAGCAGCATGTGAGCTAGCTGTGATCAAATTATGGTTCCAAAGCATTACACATTTAAAGAGTGGTACATAAGATTGGAGAGTTGAAGTGATATTGTGACACCTTTCTTGCCCCAAAAATGTCTTGCTGTCCTTGATGGTATCCTAATGTGGGTTGCATATATCATCATCACCATCATCATCATGGGAAATCCCAAAAGGCTGTAGACTCCTTGCAGATTGAGTGCCACCCAGATCGGTCTTTATTTAGGTCCTTAAGGTGGTCTGGCTGGATATTAGGTTTATATCCATCATTGCAATCTGATTACACTACCAAAACTTTTGGCAATGATGTGATTGCCAACTGTGTAGCGGCATTCTTTGGTAAACATGCTTTGGAATTCATTGGTCTTCCAGCCTAATAATATGTATGAAATATTGTAAATATAATAAAGTTAATATTTTAATGTCACAGACTTCTATATAATATTTTTCTCAACTAAAGAAAGAAATCATGAAACACTACTTCAATATTTTCTCTCGCAAGGTCATTGACATGCCTGAACACAATCCTGGAGATATGGGAGGAACAATGAGACTGGGAAAAAGGAGGACTATTTTCAAAACAGAAGACTCTGTCCTAAGTAAGTTACTTCTTGGCTGTTTCATTTTCTCTCATGATAAAAATACCATCTGTCTCATATTTAAAGGCCTAAATGAATTGTGCCAAACATGTTCTTGTGGTCACATTCATTGCCTCTCCTTACACACCATGCAGTCCACATTTAAAATGTTTCCTACCCTGAAAAGCAACTACACAAATAGCATTTTTTATTCGTCTGATTAGTTCCTGGGGTGAATCTTTTTATTATCTGTAAACACCATCTACTAAAGACAGATTAACAGCCCTCTCTCTTCCCTCTCTCCCTGTTTGAAGTGCATGCAGATGAATCACCCACTATCAGAGAGGCACTGGAGGGGGAAAATACACAGCTTCACTCTCTCTCTGTCCCACTTTCACTTCTCTCCTCCAAGCACCAGATAAAATGGTCACTGTGAAGGGAGCTGGCACAGACTGGTGGCTCTGAAGGCAGCAGTGGGAGGATAGGAAGCTCAGCACTCCAGGCTGGCTTCAACATGTTAGCTCCCCAGCAGTGCTCGTCTCTACAGAAGGATGGGCTACCCATGATGGCCCCATGTTGCCAGATTCTTTACAAGGGCACAAGCATTCCTCACTGTACAGTACAGGCTGCTGCCTCTCTCTTTTTTGATGACACATCAGTATACGCAGCAGGATCCAGGAGTTCCAGCAAGACGAGTGAGTGGGTCAGTCAAGAAGGACATGAAGCCTCCTTGGTATAAAATATTGCAGTTTTATTTTTTAAATTAAGTTTGGTTATTTATGCAGTGTGAGCCTCAGTTTTTCAGAATGCGACATCGGTGGTTCCAGCCACTTTTTAAACTGTACACTGATGATCGTCCTTGCCTCTTTGGTAATAACCCTCTCTATTTTTGTATTCAGCTTACAAGGAGCACAGAGAGGAAAACAAATATTGAGCCCAAATCTACCCTTGGATGCTCACATGCAGCTCCCACTGAAGCCAGTGGGAGTGATGAATGAAATTCTAAGGGTAGAGCTTGAGCCATATTGAACAGAGATATTTGTCAGATATACTCCTGCCCAGAGGGTGTGCCAGAAAAAAGGTCACATGGGAACATTTGTGTCATTATTCCCATAAACTAAACATTAGCAATTCATAAATTCAATGTAATCCATTGTTGCCCATCATGGAATAATAGTCTATTTTTATTCTAACCAATTTTCTAATTTTTTCACCATCAAGATCCCTGGCATTAGGGTTCTTTGAGCTCCAGTAATGCTTAGCAAATGTTATTGATCCAGCCTGGCATGTCACAGCAAATGCCAAACCTACTATTTTTACTGCCTTGGAAGCTGAAGCACACTTGGATGATATGATAGCCAGTGTGCTCCACATCCGTTCCCAATGCTCTGAGTGTGGATTTAATCCAGTCATGTTCATTCTAGCCAGAATTCTAGGGCAAACAGACACTGCTTACCTTCTCTCATCTGATATGTTTCTTCTGATTAACTTAAAGGATGCCTGTCTGCATGAACTTCCACAGTCCACTACTAGAGGACTCAGCCAAAGCCTCCTCCTTTCTTACTTTTACATATCAGGTGAAAAAATAGAGGAAGTGAATAAATGCCCAAACTACATCGGGAATTCGGATTCTTATCTAAGTGCTTCATTCCATTTAGTAGACAGGAACTTCAGCTATCTCTTAATGTGTCTGTCACACAAAGAAATTACCCATTAATTAACTAATGGACCATTTTTTTCAGAATGATAAATATTCTATGCTATGAGTGACATTCCATTCAGACAATACAGAAAAATACTTCATTCTTTTCCCCCAACTAATTTTGTACCCAAATATGTTACAAAGTCCTCAATAATATACATGAGATTACCTGTTGATAAAGTGGGATTAGTCAGGAACAAAAGAATGCTACAAAATAGAAATCTTTATTTATGATGAGTAGTTCAGATCCCATTATTTCTGGAGATGCATTTTTGGCCCAGGCAGTTATGTTACAAAGGGTCATTTTATACTGCCCCTTGAAGCCATCCCTTTAATGAAACCTTCCTGAGCTGAATGTGCTAACTGAAGTGTAACATTTTCTCCTCTATTTTAGAATATATTTATAAAATATACATCAGTGCAAGACACTAGCTCGTAATTAAGATATAACTGAGTGTCCGGGGTTTTTTTTCTGGGAACCTGTGATGGGGTGGACTAGGCCCAGAAGTCCCCTGTTGGAGGCCTTGGGGTCCTGCCACACTCCGTCCCAGAGAGGAGCAGATGAGAAGTCCTCCAAGCATCCTAGAGTGGCTGCAGGGGATGCAGCCAATCCAAAGGGCTGCAGGAGGGGCCAGGAGGGCCACATAAAAAGGAGCTGCAGAGCCAGAGGCAATCAGTTGCTGCCTGGATCTAGAAGAGAAAAGACTGTGTTCCTGGATGGCTGAAAGAACATCAGGACTATGGACAGCTCAGTGTGGGCAGGGACCAGGGGACCTAAGAAGTAGCTCCTGGCTGGCTGCTGGGACAGAGTAAGGACTGAGCCTGGGGAGGGCTGCAGCCTGGCAGTGTCTCTAGGTGGGAAGCCCTGGGGTATGGCACCATACCAGGGCCGGGAGAAGGTAAAGGCTGTATAGAATCATAGAATCATAGAATATCAGGGTTGGAAGGGACCCCTGAAGGTCATCTAGTCCAACCCCCTGCTCGAAGCAGGACCAATTCCCAGTTAAATCATCCCAGCCAGGGCTTTGTCAAGCCTGACCTTAAAAACCTCTAAGGAAGGAGATTCTACCACCTCCCTAGGTAACGCATTCCAGTGTTTCACCACCCTCTTAGTGAAAAAGTTTTTCCTAATATCCAATCTAAACCTCCCCCACTGCAACTTGAGACCATTACTCCTCGTTCTGTCATCTGCTACCATTGAGAACAGTCTAGAGCCATCCTCTTTGGAACCCCCTTTCAGGTAGTTGAAAGCAGCTATCAAATCCCCCCTCATTCTTCTCTTCTGCAGGCTAAACAATCCCAGCTCCCTCAGCCTCTCCTCATAAGTCATGTGTTCTAGACCCCTAATCATTTTTGTTGCCCTTCGCTGGACTCTCTCCAATTTATCCACATCCTTCTTGTAGTGTGGGGCCCAAAACTGGACACAGTACTCCAGATGAGGCCTCACCAATGTCGAATAGAGGGGAACGATCACGTCCCTCGATCTGCTCGCTATGCCCCTACTTATACATCCCAAAATGCCATTGGCCTTCTTGGCAACAAGGGCACACTGCTGACTCATATCCAGCTTCTCGTCCACTGTCACCCCTAGGTCCTTTTCCGCAGAACTGCTGCCTAGCCATTCGGTCCCTAGTCTGTAGCGGTGCATTGGGTTCTTCCGTCCTAAGTGCAGGACCCTGCACTTATCCTTATTGAACCTCATCAGATTTCTTTTGGCCCAATCCTCCAATTTGTCTAGGTCCTTCTGTATCCTATCCCTCCTCTCCAGCGTATCTACCACTCCTCCCAGTTTAGTATCATCCGCAAATTTGCTGAGAGTACAATCCACACCATCCTCCAGATCATTTATGAAGATATTGAACAAAACCGGCCCCAGGACCGACCCTTGGGGCACTCCACTTGATACCGGCTGCCAACTAGACATGGAGCCATTGATCACTACCCGTTGAGCCCGACAATCTAGCCAGCTTTCTACCCACCTTATAGTGCATTCATCCAGCCCATACTTCCTTAACTTGCTGACAAGAATACTGTGGGAGACCGTGTCAAAAGCTTTGCTAAAGTCAAGAAACAATACATCCACTGCTTTCCCTTCATCCACAGAACCAGTAATCTCATCATAAAAGGCGATTAGATTAGTCAGGCATGACCTTCCCTTGGTGAATCCATGCTGGCTGTTCCTGGTCACCTTCCTCTCATGCAAGTGCTTCAGGATTGATTCTTTGAGGACCTGCTCCATGATTTTTCCAGGGACTGAGGTGAGGCTGACTGGCCTGTAGTTCCCAGGATCCTCCTTCTTCCCTTTTTTAAAGATTGGCACTACATTAGCCTTTTTCCAGTCATCCGGGACTTCCCCGGTTCGCCACGAGTTTTCAAAGATAATGGCCAATGGCTCTGCAATCACAGCCGCCAATTCCTTCAGCACTCTCGGATGCAACTCGTCCGGCCCCATGGACTTGTGCACGTCCAGCTTTTCTAAATAGTCCCTAACCACCTCTATCTCCACAGAGGGCTGGCCATCTCTTCCCCATTTTGTGATGCCCAGCGCAGCAGTCTGGGAGCTGACCTTGTTAGTGAAGACAGAGGCAAAAAAAGCATTGAGTACATTAGCTTTTTCCACATCCTCTGTCACTAGGTTGCCTCCCTCATTCAGTAAGGGGCCCACACTTTCCTTGGCTTTCTTCTTGTTGCCAACATACCTGAAGAAACTCTTCTTGTTACTCTTGACATCTCTCGCTAGCTGCAGCTCCAGGTGAGATTTGGCCCTCCTGATTTCATTCCTACATGCCCGAGCAATATTTTTATACTCTTCCCTGGTCATATGTCCAACCTTACACTTCTTGTAAGCTTCTTTTTTATGTTTAAGATCCGCTAGGATTTCACTATTAAGCCAAGCTGGTCGCCTGCCATATTTACTATTCTTTCGACTCATCGGGATGGTTTGTCCCTGTAACCTCAACAGGGATTCCTTGAAATACAGCCAGCTCTCCTGGACTCCTTTCCCCTTCAAGTTAGTCCCCCAGGGGATCCTGGCCATCCGTTCCCTGAGGGAGTCGAAGTCTGCTTTCCTGAAGTCCAGGGTCTGTATCCTGCTGCTTACCTTTCTTCCCTGCGTCAGGATCCTGAACTCAACCAACTCATGGTCACTGCCTCCCAGATTCCCATCCACTTTTGCTTCCCCCACTAATTCTACCCGGTTTGTGAGCAGCAGGTCAAGAAAAGCGCCCCCTCTAGTTGGCTCCTCTAGCACTTGCGCCAGGAAATTGTCCCCTACGCTTTCCAAAAACTTCCTGGATTGTCTATGCACCGCTGTATTGCT